ACACATCATCATGTCTCAATTGCGCAGATCGATGCTCATGCTGTTGATCACTGGATTGTCGGATTACAGACCACCGCCATATAGCTTGAATATTTCTGAGTGTGGCGTTAAACAACAAACCAACCAAACAGTTCGGTTACGTGCAAGTGTTACATTTTAGGTTTTGTTGTGCAACTTATACTGACGTCTGCTGGCACCCAGTACATGTAAAGTGTTTCGAATATTTGTCTGTCTAACCCTTGCTGGTCCACACAACATCAATCTGTGAACACATTCAATACATCAAGGGTTAATGTACCTTACTAAATCACTGGTACCTGTGTTATGTGTAATTTGACATGCGATTTTGTGGGCTGGCTTGACGTCAGACTGTGGGAAGTTCAAGGTCATGTGCAATCTCCATTACCTCATTATGTGACAAGGGGATTTGGGGTAGCCTAGTGGTTAAAGCGCTCTGTCGTCACCGAAGACACGGGTTTGATTCCCCACGTGGGTACAATGTGTGAAGCCCATTTCTAGTGTTACCCTGCTGTGATATTGCCGGAATATTGCTAAAAGTGGCGTAAAACTAATCTCACTCACTCACTCATTACATGATGAAACACAGGCAGCAAACCAGCTTAAATGTTTTCACTGTGTCAAATTTATAGGACTGCGGTTCAACTTGGTATTGTTTGGTTCATGTCAACATGGGGCGGTGGGGTAGCCTAGCGGTTAGAGCGTTGGCTCGTCACGCCGAAGACCTGGGTTCGAATCCCCACATGGGTACAATGTGTGAAACCCATTTCTGGTGTCCCCTGCCGTGATGTTGCTGGAATATTACTAAAAGCGGCGTAAAACTAAACTCAGTCTGTCATGTCAACATACACCTGGTGCAAGTGATATCTAAATTCCTTTAACTGAGCACCTGTGAAGATCCGGTTTACAATGGGTCTGCAGCATCTCATGCTTGTCGGCTGGCCAGGCGTGCTCAGTTGCTGACTTGATTGACACATGTCATCTTATCCCACATGCCAACTCTAGCTGTGAACATCCCAGAACTCACCATAACAACATTAGCTACTGTTACACAATGTGATAGAATTCAGTTAAAAGAGTATTTCGAGTTTTTGGAATGTCACAGAGCTTGAAATCTGAGTAAACTTCTGGCAAACTGATCCTGGGTTCACATCTCATGTAACCTCCACTAAGGCCTGAATACATTCCCTCGTTCTCAAATAACCTGCCGTTGATTTCCATTTGCTAATTTAACTGACTTTGCTGCTTGGTCTAATGATGAAGATTGGTTTGCATATCAACAACAAAGTGGCTAGTACGCTGATTGTGATGGTGTTTGTAGAAATTCAATATTGAGAAACTGACTAACACATAAAGCCATAACATTTTGATCGCTGACCGTGCGCTAGAGGATAGGTGCTTCACTTTGAGAGTGTGGGTTCATTATCCTGGGCCGGGACAGATCGATGCCCATGCTGTTGATCACTGGATTGTCTGGCCCAGACTCGATTATTTACAGACCGCCATATAGCTGGAATATTGCTAGAGTCGCGGATAAAGCTAAATTCACTCACTCACTCTAAAATGTCATTGTGTATGCAGGGATTACTCATGTTTGTTGTTTAATGCCGCAATATTCAAACTATTGAACAGCGGTAAAAAAAAATGACGCTGAGTGTTCCAGTGACTGATATCATGAGCATTTATCCACACAACCAGAACTAGTCACATGGTCACCTCTTACCATAAACGACCTGTGAAGATAGGGTTAGAAATGATCTTCAGTAACCCATAGGCGGATCATTAGATAGGGGTAGGGTGGGGGATTCCCCACATGGGTACAATGTGTGTAGCCCATTTCTGGTGTCCCCCGCCGTGATATTGCTGGAATATTGCTAAAAGCAGCGTAAAACCATACTCACTCACTCTCAAGGGTGTGCAGCCCACCCTTTCTCAAAAAGCTGTATCCGCCTCTGCATGTTTGTTGTAAGAGGCTTAGCGGACGGATCGGTGGTCAGACTTCGCTGACTTGGTTGACACATGTCATCACATCCCAGTTCGCGTAGATCGATCATCATGCTGCGGGGATCACTGGATTGTCTGGTCCACTTCGATTATATACAGGCTGCAGCCATATAGCTCACTCTCTACCATAAACATCAGTTGCTGGTTGGTTGGGGGCGGTAGGGTAGCCTAGTGGTTAAAGTGTTCGCTCGTCACGCCAAAGACCTGGGTTTCGATTCCCCACATGGGCACAATGTGTGAAGCCCATTTCTGGTGTCCCTTGCCGTGATATTGCTGGAATATTGCTAAAAACAGCGTTTAACCATACTCACTCACTCACTCAGTTGCTGGTTTGGCTTGCTGAAATGACTGATAATCGGAAATATCGTCAATAGGAAAGATTATTAATGATTATCAATGTGAAAATCGTGTAATGAGTAATATCGTACATTAACTTTTGTGATTGAAGAAAGTTTTCATTTACACTATACTAATTTAGGTTTTTATTCATGGGCTGCTTCCATAATGATATTATGTAATCCATGCTTAAACATGTCGCAGCTCACTAGTGAAGAGATATATTCATTTCTCTCAAACATTTGGCATTTTTATGTCAAAGTTACGTCAAAAGGGATAGATATGACAGAGAATTTTTCATATAGCGTCTGAAAACATATATTGTGATGTGTATTGCAATATATATTAAAAATATACCTAAACAAAGAAACCACTTATAATGTCCAGTTCAATGCTTGATTTATAAAGCAATAACACAACATATGTGATTAAACCTTGATAAAACCTTTTAATCATGACAAGATAAAAATGTAAATACTATTTAGCTGTGGAAACTCGAAATATCCGGTAGATTTCCAAGTGCAGTTTTCTGAATGCAAAGTCAAAATACCGTTTTTGATTAGCGTGTGTCGCCCAATGCTGATATGTTTCATGTCTGAACCGGCAAATACCGGTGGCCGGTTGTATTGTGCAGCCCTAATATTTATCACTAGTGGTGATAATTATTAAATAATTATTGATCTCTATGATCTCTCTAACTAGTGTCCCCGCGTGTGTGCTGGAATATTGTTAAAGCGATTAATAAACGTACTCCTCACTCACTCACTCTCTATGATCTATATCGTTAACCAACTCTAGTAAGCTGTGGATCAATAGATGCTTTCCTGCATATCCAGAATCAAAGTTTGGGGCACAAGAGGCGTTAATAAATAATAATAGCGAATGCGTATTTATGATATGCTTATTCCACGCAAAGGCATGCTCAAAGCGCTACAGAATACTCACACTAATATTACCTAGCAAGCTGCAGCCAGTAGAAGGTTATGATGCATGACTTAACCCACCAGGTACCCATTTTCTGCTGGGTGAGACAGAGTCAATTTTGAACAAACTCGCTTGCCTGGGTTGAGACCACATGTATCACATGTTAGCCGTTGATAAGGACGGGGCTGAAGTCCTGGAAACTCTCCCGGGAGTCGAAGCTGCTGGAAACACGGTCGCCATCCAGAGATATATGACGAAGCCAGCGTTTGTACTTCACCGATTTGTGACCTGGGCTCCATGCAGGACGGTCTGTATGTCATGATGTGTCGCGTTTGTCAACACATTAAAAGCAGTATGATGACCCATATAGTTCTATTATTTCTGAAACATTTCTTTACCGTGCTTTATATGTCATTTTGACCCTTTAATGAGGCCTAAAGTGCTGTTGGAAATGGAAAAAACTGTTTTAAGGCTGTTGCTCTGTATCCTAGAGTTATACAATTGCCAAATAGCATATGTGAAATAACCCACATCCCATTTCAACAGGGAGGTGTTCGGTGGAATGTGTAATAAGATATCCGAAAGCATGTTTGCCTTGTAAGAATCTGGGTGGCGAATGGCTGCTTAAAGACAATAGATCCGGGCCCCATAAGTAACAGTATTGATTCCAAACTCCAGCCAGGTATGATGACAAACGTCTACACCTGGCATGAAGTCAGGCGATGCGCTACCACAGGCAGAAGGGGTCATCTCAAAAGATATTCTATCGTTTTCTTGTGTGTTGAATATGTCTCATATTGATTAACATCAGCGTCTTTCTTTCATAAAGTTTATGTTGACATATGTAAAAACAATGATACCCATAAAGCTTAAATCAACCATCGTATTAAATGTCTCAAAATATAAATTACACCAGAAAGATTAAATAGACTGGATATTTTTGTAAATTGTTATTTGAATTCTAATTCCCCTAAAGAGTTATCTTATCTTAGCTGATATCTCCCGACCCAACCACCCGTCTGCAACACCGACCTACTTTGCATAGAGAGCGACCCATGACTCTGTTGTTTTATAGTGGTAGTGAGACTCCATGGTAGCCCTACATGCTTAAGAGTTGTAATTAAAAATATTATTTTGTCACGTCATATATCGTTTCCACAATGAAGCTAAAGCCTAATATCAAAATATAGGCATTTAAAAGTGTCCTTTGTAATTACAATATCATGCCACACTAATTTGCATAAAGCCATGGTCTGTTCCAAATAAGTCTTCGGACTTGGATTTGGACTTAGAAAAAACCTCATTGCTCATTTCTGCACTAATCTCCTCAGTAAAAGTCACTTTTTACATTTCCTATCTCCCTCCCACTGAGAGAACTGTAGTTAGGCCGAACTTAGTTTAACAGATATTTCACACTTTCACATATTAACTACATAAGTGTGGATATAAATGTGAAAAAGAGTTTTCTATTTCCGACAGTACTTTGGTACATAACATTGTGTTTGACTGCCTTCCTAAATGGCATTTGTGCGCTCGCGATTACTCATGTTTGTGGTTTCGTACAGCAATATTCAAATTCCAACTTCAACTGATTTATTGACGGGCTCTATGCGGACCACCTACCACCACTGCGTTGTGTTGTTTTGTCAGTCAGTAATAATTTGATAGATGCAATTTGTTGGCTGTCACTTTGCCTCAATACAAAGTGTTACTTTCAGACTACATTGTGTACCTTCCTCAACTCCCACAAGTGAACCGACATGACCTGTTGAGGCAGTTCCTATGAGCCTCCTTCCTGCTTGATGGTTATACCTGCCACTAGGTGTCGCTGTCAACCAACAGGATGAGAGTCCAAGGTTGAAGTCTGCTACTGAAGGTAAGGCAGAAGAACGAACAGAACCATAATTCAGTTTTGTTTTGTGTACTTAGCTGCGAAAATATACTACAATTTTATCTAAACTACATTTATATATATTTCCTCCGATCAAACAAGCGTTTATGACAGAATCAAATTTAAAGGGTATATATTGCCCTTTGGTATTATGACCTTATTTTCAGGTCACATAATACTGACCACTTTTGGGCGCTCTTGTTAGCAGCGATATCTCATGAACTGTTGTGCCCAATGTCTTCAAATTTGGTGACAACCTACGTAGAATGATTATGCAGAGACCAGTGGATTTTGGTATTATGACCTATTTTCAGTCACCGTACTGACCGCCAAACTCTTGTTATGTGATATCTCATGAACTGTTGTACACAATGTATTCAAATTTGGTGATGGCGTACAACGATGCGATTTTGCAGACAGCAGTCGATTTTGGTGACCTTGACCGTATTTTCCAAGGGTCGCCATGACCCTTTGACCACTTCAAACTTATGTAGCAGCGATATCTCATAAAACATTAAGCCCAATGTCTTCAATTAGCAATGGAACCGGGCGCTACAATGGGTGATTATGTAGACACCAGTCATTTCAGGCATATTATATGTGACCAAAAATACAAAGTAGTCAATATATTATAAAATATTTCATTCTTCTTTAAGCGGTAGGGACGTTGCCGCTATTGGTAGCTTGAAGCATGTTCACTCTTCTGTAATGTACTAAGCAGCGAAAGAAACGTCGGTTTGGAATTTGCCCATGAAACAGGATAACTGTAAAGCTCATTTAATGTTTTGAAGTGAAATATTTGACAACATCTCCAACTTTACCTGAGCAAAGACGTTTAGCCTTCCAAACCAGGAAATGGTCTACAAAAGCATAACCTGATCTCGGAGATGGGTATGATGTTCTCCATGTTTCATGCAACTCATGTTGCCGTGTAACATTCACTAGGACCAACCCTATCAGATCGTCATCCCCAAACCTGGATTGAAACATTCACATTACAACGTCCAACAGGATGCCGCCAACAGCACGACAGCTAAAGAGAGGAACCAGAGCAGGAAGACTTGGAAGCTGGCCACACTGCCTGAAGCCGTTGCCAATCACTTCCGGAAGGTCAACGTTCGGATACATCTACGGGCTGCAGCAGCGTTTTCGAGACCACCAACCGCGACAAATGACCACCCTGTACTGGAATAAAGAATTTGACCACAAGGCTGACAAGACACGCCATGTTGTCTGCGGCAGCATGTCCAGAATCCTCCATGCAGGCATTGTTGAGCAGCAGCCAGACAATTAGGAAGAACTCACGGTAGACCAATCAGTACTGATACGAGTCGCCCGACCTGCTATAACAGCGGGAACCTCCTGGAATAGGCCTGAACCAGAGAGTGGGTCCTGTGGTGTTCAGAACCTTGGTCCAGGGGAGAGGGGCGGCATCACGGCCGATCGCTACATCCGACCAAGCTCTCAGACCCACGTCATACCACATTTCAGCGCGTCACTGGAACAACATTTTCCAGCATGATAGCGCCGGGCCCATACTGCCAGGCTACCACGGGACTTCTACAGCAGAGCGATTAATCAACATTATGCGATGGCCAGCCCTTGAGTCCTTATTTAAACCCAATTGAACATCTTTGGGATGAAATTCAGAGGAGACTGAATAATGTCATATCAAGGGCCCGAAGACAGCCGGTTTATTGTTATGGGCCCAGGCCTTTCTCCAGAGTGTGGTTCAAAGGTGCCAATGGCCTTCACCAGATCGATTGGTGCACTCCATGCATAGGCGGCTGTGCTGCGGTTATTGCGCTCGTGGTGGTCGCACTAGATACTGAAGTCAAAGAGTCTGAATGAACTGCAAAGCGTTCACGTAATGTCTTGAAAGTGTGCTGGGTTATTCACTGATGTAGTCAAAATATTGTACCACAAAAATATTTTTGATCCGGCTTGTCGTCTTTTTTTCTGTAATGATTTGATTACAGTGCCGATCTGATTTGAATTTGTACTGGCGTTTCTTTTGCTACTGAGTATATATGCTGTCGAGTTGCCATATGTTGCCCTTTAACATATAGAGTACAACCAGAAATTATTGAGAGTTGAAGTTGTAAAAAAAATTATTTTTTTAGCTCATTACTCCGCGTATTAAATGTGAATATTAGCAGAACATAACTCAGATTCAAAGGGAACAGGTGAACAGTTGAAGTATTTTTTGTCAGAGTCACCATGGGCAGCAATGCAGGCTTCAATGCTTGTCGGGGGCATACTACTGATCAAAGAAGTTAGAAAGTCGTGGTCCATGCTGTCCCAATATGGGACCACCTCTTCTTTCATTTCAACAATATTTGTCAGATTTTTCTTATTGACACTTTTCCTTCATTTTCCCCAAAACATTTTTCTATTGGATTTAGGTCAGGGCTATAAGCTTGGCCAATCTAATAATGTCATATTTTGGGTCGAAACCAGGCCTGTGAATGCGCGAGCGATGTTTTGACAGGTGGTTGTCCTGCTGGAAAAATCAAATATTTCCATAGAATCACGTGAGCAGATGGAAGTAAATGTCCCTCCGAGAATATCTGTATTACCGCTCACTGTTCATATTCCCTTCAAATGCTCAGAGGTTGCCCTAACACGAATATATACCCACCCGCACGTTAAATTTGGACTGTACTTCCAGGCGCTGATACAAAGGTTTTTCAGTTTGTTTGGTCCGGGAATTTCAGTGTATTAGGAAACAAGCTACACAGAACTTTCATCTGAAGAAAATCACATTGTCCCAGTTACGAATTTCTATGCTGTAAGCACCAGTTCAACCTTCGCTCCTTTGTTCAGGTTTCATGATCGGTGATGGAATTCCTCGACTTTTCTGCCAACCCATTGCATGCAGCTCAGTTCCTAATTGTCTCCTTACAGACAGCCACAGTTCCTCTATCAATCATATCAGCCCTAAGATTTTTTCTAAACTCCTTCGTTGTTTTAGAAACAAAGAATACCAAGCCCGCCTCCTGTTACCGACAGTCAATTTCTCTAGGCCTACCTGCGCCTCCTGGTGCTCAATGCCATATCCATTTGCAATATTTTTCAAAACATGATAAATAGGTGGACAAGGGATGCCTGTTCTACTTGAAATCACTTTAGCTGATCTGATGTCCTTGTTAATAGCCTCTAAAATCAACTTCCCCTTCTCTAAATCATCCATACTGAGGATCACTGAAAATGTCGTCTGCTAGCAAGTAAACAAAGGGGATAACTCTTCACAAACTAATGAAAAGCGGATTAACGGCGTTGTCTCTCTTGAATGAAACCAATCACTTGATAGCTGGTCCAAGGTTGTTTATACTAGAAATCCAATTAAACATATTCCTAAAATTCTCAATAATTTCTGGTCATACTATGTACTGTCACATATTATTATGTAGTACCATTTAACATATATTGTCACTTGGCATATATTTGGAAGCTTGTTTTCTATTCATTAAATAATATATATGTAAGTGGAGGTGTCTATGTTACTTTCAAGGATGAGAACAGTGTAGTGAATGCATTCGAGCTTCTATGGCCGAGACCCTGATCGAGTCACGCAGGCCAGGACTTTAGCCCAACTGTGACATCGCGGGGTGCTTTGATTCAGTTGCAGGTAAACCATCCTTAATAGATACGAGTACGGCTAATCCTTAATGAATCTGGGTAAACCATCCTTAATAGATTCGAGGTAAACCATACACAGTGCATGCAGGTAGAAGCAATACGTGCAGGTGCATGGGTGAATACATACACAGTGCATGCAGGTAAACAATACACAGTGCATGCAGGTGAAGGCAATACACACAGTGCATCGCGAGATTAAACAATACACAGTGCATGCAGGTGTAAACAATACACTGCATGCAGGTAGACCATACACGGTGCATGCGGGTGAACAGCTCCCCACAGTGCATGCTTGGGTAAACAATGCCACAGTGCATGCAGGTAAACAATACACAGTGCATCTTGAATTAAACATATACACAGTGCATGCAGGTGAAACCAACCACGGTGCATCGCGGATGCAGAAGCAATACATAGTGCATCTTGGGTAAGCCATGCACAGTGCATGCGGGTAAACAATACACGGTACGTACGGATAAACCAATGCACGGTACGTGCGGGTAAAAATGCACGGTGCATGCGGGTAAACAATACACAGTGCGTGCGGATAAACCGTACACAGTTCGTACGGATAAACCGTACACGGTGCATGCGGGTGGAAAGCCACCGACCCGGTGGTGTACGTTCCGGGCGGTAACATGGAGCCGTGTGGATGGGTGTGGTGTGTCAGCACTGCACATAGCTGCCTGTAAAGGTTACAGCTTTGGTTAGGTAAAGCTGCTTAGGTCAGCATGAATTGTTGCAAAGATCCCCATCCCGGGTATGGCTTCAAGATGGGTCATCATGCTGCCGAAGAAGTAAAACTGAATGAACAACCGGTTTCATTTCTTTATGGATGGTTCTGTGGTTGAGGATCACTGCATGGGATAACACAGATCAGACATGTGGATGGTTTTGCAGGTCGTTTTACCACGCACTCTGTTCAATGTGTCAGTTCTCTGTTCCATGTAATGTTAGTTCTTAATGTTATTATTAATTGTCCAGTTCTCTGTTTCTATGTGTTAGTTCTGTGTTGTGTGTCGGTTCTACGATTCCATATGAGTTAAGGTCTCACTTCTGTGTGTGTCAATTCTATGTGTCAGTTCTCTGTTCTCTGTGTCGGATTCTCTGTTCTATTTGTCAGCTCTCTGTTCTGTAGTGTTGTGGATTCTATGTTATTATTATTATCCAGTTCTATATTCTATTATTGTCAGTTCTCTGTTCTATGAGAGGAAGGCGGTGGGAGTAGCCTGGTGGTTAAAAGCGATCTGCTCATCACGCCCGAGAAGTCCAGTTCGAGTCCCACATGGGGCACAATGTGTGAAGCCCATTTCTGTTAATCCCGCCCGTGATATTGCTGGAATATTGCTAAGAAGTGGCATAAAACCATACTCACTCACTCACTCACTGTTCTATAGAGTTAGTTCTGGGTTCTGTGTGTCAGTTCTCTGTTCTATGAGTTAGTTCTCTGTTATTCTGTGTGTCAGTTCTATATTTAGTATTATGTCGGATTCTCTATTTCTATAGGTTAGTTCTATGTTCCTGTGTGTCAGTTCTCTGTTCTATATGAGTTAGTTATTAATGTCCAGTTCCTATGTGTCAGTTCTCTGTTCTATAATCAGTTTCTCTGTTCTCTGTGTCAGTTCTCTGTTCTATGAGGTTAGGTCTCACTTCTATGTGTCCAGTTCTCTGTTCCTATGAGTTAGGTCTCACTTCTATGTGTCAGTTCTCTGTTCTATGTGTCAGTTCTCTGTTCATATGGAGTTAGGTCTCACTTCTATGTGTCAGATTCTCTGTTCTATGTGTCAGTTCTCTGTTCTATGAGTTAGGTCTCACTTCTATAGTGTCCAGTTCTCTGTTCTATGTGTGTCAGTTCTCTGTTCTGTGAGTTGGAGGATATCAAGCCTATGTGTGTCAGTTCTCTGTTCTATGTGTCAGTTCTCTGTTCTATGAGTTAGGTCTCACTTCTATGTGTCAGTTCTCTGTTCTATGTGTCCAGTTCTCTGTTCTATGAGGTTAGGTCTCACTTCTATGTGTCAGTTCTCTGTTCTATGTGTCGGTTCTGCCTGTTCTGTAGGTTGGGTCTTGCTTCCACATGTGTCAGTTCATCTGTTCTATGTGTCCAGTTCTCTGTTCTATGAGTTAGGTCTCCACTTCTATGTGTCAGTTCTCTGTTCTATGTGTCAGTTCTCTGTTCTATGTAATTAGGTCTCACTTCTATGTGTGAGTTCTCTGTTCTATGTGTCAGTTCTCTGTTCTGTGTGTCAGTTCTCTGTTCTATGAGTGAAGTCTCACTTCTATGTGTCAGTTCTCTGTTCTATGTGTCAGTTTCTCTGTTCTATGAGTTGAGTCTCACTTCTATGTGTCAGTTCTCTGTTCTATGTGTCAGTTCTCTGTTCTATGGAGTTGGGGTCTCACTTCTGTATTGTCAGTTCTCTGTTCTATGTGTCAGTTCTCTGTTCTGTGAGTTAAGTCTCACTTCTATGTGTCAGTTCTCTGTTCTATGAGTTAGGTCTCACTTCTGTGTTAGTCAGTTCTCTGTTCTGTGTGTCGGTTCTCTGTTCTATGAGTTGGGTCTCACTTCTGTGTGTCGGTTCCTATGTTCTATGTGTCCAGTTCTCTGTTCTGTAGGTTGGGTCTCGCTTCTGTGTGTCGGTTCTCTTGTTCTGTGAGTTTGGGTCATAAAAGCACCGTATGTGTCCGCTCTCTGTTCTGTGTGTCCGGCTCTGTTTTATGTTGGGCTCTCACCGTTTCACCATGTGTCGGTTCTGTGTTCCATTATTGTCGGTTCTGTGTTGTGTGTGTCGGACTATACTTGTTCTGTGTCAATGCTAATAAGTAACGGTCACTTTTGGTTGTCTGGTCGGGCTTGGGTGTTACAGACCACCGCCATATGGCTGGAATATTGCTGGTCGTGATGAAGCTAAACTCACTCCTCCTCACACTCTGTTCTGTGTGTCGGTTCTGTGTTCTATGTGTCGGTCTGTGTTCTAATTGATGGTTCTCTGTGCAATGTTTCGGTTCTATGTGAGATGCTGACCGGTGAAGATCGGGTTAGGAATTAGATGTCAATGAAAACCCATGATTGTCGTGAAGCGACTAGGGATTGAGTGGCCGGGCTGCGTGACGGTGAGAGCGACACATGTCATGCATTGTCTCAATTGCACAGATCGTTAACAAGTAACGTTGCACTGGATTGTCTGGGCCAAGTTCAATTATTTACAGACATACCACCATATGGCTGGAATATTGCTGAAAGGCGGCGGTAAAAATAAAGTTAAAAATAAAGTTACACACTCACTCCTTATTTCTGTGTGTTAGTTCTCCTGTTCTATGTGTTAGTGGCAATTATCAATGGCCCTATCCGCAATCCACAACAGGCAATGAAGCGATACAGAGACCAGTGAGGACATTGCTGGAGGCTTGAGTGGGCGTAAATGCCGAGGTCCGGAAGCCGGACCCTCTACATGGCTGCAGAGAGTGGCCACCTTGACATTAATCAAGAGCTCTGAGTGGATACCAAAGAGCCAGACTGAATGTTGCAAAGTGATTATGGTAAAGTGAGTTCAATGCAGTAAACTCGTCAACGCCCGAGACCGGGTTTGATACCCCACATGGAGGCACAATGTGTGAAGTCCACTTTCTGGTGTCCCCAGCATTGATATTGCTGGAATATTGCTAAGCCAATGAAACTAAGCTCAGACATGTGTCAGCAAAGTCCAGCAGAAGGCAACACCGATCCTGGTAAGTCACCTCTTCACGACAGAGTCTGAAAGAGAGCTTCCGGGGAAGGCTGGCAAATTCAGGCTGACACTTGGGTAGCAGATGGACTGAAGGCTGCTATCAATGTTAGATCCCTCCTTGAGACTGGCATTGCCTTTTTGCTGGTCTGTCCGCATTCATTCTTCCTGCTGTCTTTTCGGATACCCTAAAGCGTGCCTATCCCTGTCTGCTTATAATGATAATGACAGTCTGCTTAGCTGGTCACTGGTTAGACTGTTTTGACATATCTCTGACAAGTGTATGTGACAAGTAGTGTCACAAGTTTTTGTGTTGAATAACACACTTCATAGTGAGTGAGAGTCGGGTTTTGTTTTACGCCGCTTTGCTTAATATTCAAGCAATATCGTGACGGGGACTTCAGAAATGGGCTTCACACATTGAACCCATGTGAAGAATCGGACTTCGAGGGTCTTCGGTATTGAGCGAAAAACTTTAACCACTGGGCTCTTAGGAGATTCCCCTTGTGACAATGAGGTAATGGGGATTACATGAACTTCCACGGTCTGATGTCAAGCCAGCCCGCAAATGCATGTCCAGAAGTACATAACACAGAATTGCTTGCCAACTTGGTAAGGTGCATTGAAGCCGGAAGCGGGCGGCTTTTGGCCGCTGGGCTACCTTGCATTTTACTTCTGTATGGCACGCAGGCGCGGCACGGTGATGCTGTGTTGAATAACACGCATCTGTATGACGGGCATGCCACCACTGTGTTCGGCTGTGTTGAATAGCATAGATTTCTGTGCAGCGGAATACGTGTACAGAGTTCTGTATTGATGTAATGGGCGTGCATGCTGACGGGCTTGACGCACTGAGGTCTGTAATATAATGAGCTATGTCTCGGGCAACATGCTTGGCAGGTACACAAGGTTCTGTAATATGTAATGGGCGTGTCTGTGCAGCAGGCTTGACACCCTGGGTTCTGTATTGTAATAGAGAGGGCGTGTCTATGCGGCTTGGGCTTGGTACCCGGAGTTCTGCATTGATATGATAGGATTGATGTATGTAATGGGCACGATACTATGCAACGATGCGACATACCCTGAGTTCTGTAATATATGTAATAGGGTTGATGTATGTAATAAGCTTGTCTATGCGACGGAACGACGCTACGGGTTCGCGGTATAATGGGCGATGTCTATACGGCAGGCTTGACGCACCACAGAGTTCTGTGATATGTAATAGGATTGTGCATATAATTAGGCATGTCTGTGCAGCGGGCTTGACATCCCTGAGTTCTGTATTATATAATGGGGCTGATGCCGTATAATGGAGGCGTGCCGCAGGCGGGCGACGCTGAGGTTTTGTATTATATAATGAAGCTTGTCTATGCAGCAGGCTTGACGCCTGGGTTCTGTAATATATAATGGAAGCTTTCTATGCAACAGGCTTGACACCCCTGAGTTCTGTAATATATAATAGGCTTGTCTATGCAACGGAAAGCAAACACCCTGAGTTCTGTAATATATAATAGGCTTGTCTATAAAATAGGCTTGTCTACAACAGGCTTGACACACAGGAGTTTGTAATATATAATAGGCTTGTCTATGCAACAGGCTTGACACCCTCTGTTCATAATAATATATAATGTAGAGCTTGTCTATGCAACGGAAGCGGCACCCCTCAGTTCTGTAATATATAATAGGCTTGTATCTATATAACGGAGGCTTGACTTACCCTGAGTTCTGTAATATATAATAGGCTTGTCTATATAATGAAACTTGACACCCCTGAGTTCTGTAATATATAATAGAAGCTTGTCTATGCAACAGGCTTGACACCTCTGAGTTCTGTAATATATAATAGGCTTGTCTATGCAACAGGCTTGACACCTCTGAGTTCTGTAATATATAATGAAGCCTGACCTTGCTGTGTTCTGTTGCATATAACATAGATTTCTATGCAACAGGCTTGGCACGCTGTGTTCCGCTGTATTGAATAACAAGACTGATGTGGCTATCTGTCTCTCATCAGGCGAGTGAGAAATTCAACAAAGTGACTCCCAAGAATAACCTCCCCTTGCTTTTTACGCTGTCCGGGCAGGAACATCAACGTCGATCCTTGAGCTGCTCAAGGCAGGTGAGTATCAATCTCCACCGCGGTGAAACATCAGTCGAAATTAATGTGTGACAATAGAAGTAATAAACATTAAAACAGGTGGCTTCAACCTCATCAAGTTCCACACACAAAGACCCTGAAAAAACCACACACATACCCTGCATGCCCACGTTACTGTTTAAGTGCAGTCGTTTTGAAGCTGACAGTAAACTCATTTTCACCTCACCTTAACCCAATTCGAACTACCAGTTAAAATTTTGTAGTTGCCATCAATCGGGAGGATATTATAAGTTCTCAAGGTTTGACGCTAGCTGTTAAATATGTGCTGTCTTCTTCCAGACTGTGATCGAAATGTTCTCACGAAGAACTTTGAAAGTCAATCCACATCGCCCGTTCGAATGGGTCGCGTAGGCGTGCTCAAGCTCTCTCGTTACAACAAAGGTTGTGATGTTAATCTCTCGAACCTGTCGACAGCGTCACTCCGCTCCATGTGGCCGTCAGCGTTCACCAGGACTTTGTCGTCTTCAGTATTAAAATATTCTACCAGCTGTTAGAAGGAAGCTGTATATTAAACTGAGAGCATTTAGCACCCTAGAAACTCTCCTTTATATAGGGCATTAGAACTTGATAAGAACAATATTGCCATTTGCTGCTAGCATGGTGCGATCCAAATCTTGCCTCACCGTTTGACGCTCAAACGGCCCTGCAGAGAAAAGCTGCCAACTGCAGAAACTGAACATTGCAGGAAATGCTTCGCCAATTGCGGAATTCAGTGGAAGCGAAGCGATGGTTGAAGCATTTCAATCAACTTCAAGGGGAGATAACTAACGATGCAAAAAGTAAATGATTTATTGCGCAATTGGCGGTTCACGTGACAACCTCCTTACAGAAGACCTGTAGAGGCAGCTCTGAGGCACATGCTTGGAGAGAAAACTCGGGTACAAGGTTAGCCAGCACTGCCCCATTCAGAGAAAATACAGCATTTCTTAAATGTTGAGTGATTTAATGTGATATTTACATGAATTACTCTTGTTGATGCAGTTTAGACATTGTTTTGGTATGTTTTTTGCTCTGTGGTGAGCATTTTGTAGGACTTTCGTTGTTGGTATCTGACTTCAAGCTCAAGCGCTTTATCAAACAGACGGTGGCCAAATAAGTGGTGCAAATATGTACCCTCTCCGGTTATATCTATGCTGGGAGATTACTTGTGTAATGTCTATTGTTGTTAATGGGGGCGGTGGGGTAGCCTAGTGGTAGTTAAGCGTTGGCTCGTCACGCGAAGACCGGGTTCGATTCCCTACATGGGCACAATGTGTTAAGCCCATTTCTGGTGTCCCCTACCCGTGATATTGCTGGAATGTTGTTAAAAGCATGTAGAAACTAAGCTCAGTCAGTCAGTCTTTGTTAATGAGAGGCGGTGGGGTAGCCTGAGTGGTTAAAGCGTTACTTTCGTCACGCCCGAAGACGGGTTCGAATCCCCACATGGTACATTGTGTGAGCCCATTTCTGGTGTCCTCCGCCCGTGATGTGCTGGAATATTGCTAAAAGCGGTGTAAAACAATGCCTCACTCCACTCACTCTTTGTTAATGAAACAAATTTACTCACATTCTTCTAAGTTTGGAAAAGTGATCATGGGCATTATTATTATTGATCTGGTTTTGTTAAGTTTGACATATGCACATTTATGTTTCCTAAACTTCACATGGACAACCATTTGGATTCGTTCAAAATGTAGTAAAACCCAGCTGCTATCTTTAGTTACATCTTGTTGTAACCTTTGACGAAATGAAAAGCGCCACCTAGGAGCAGACTCCTTACACTCTCTAATCCTTGTTTTAAAGGCGAGATATTTTTTAGGAACATTGTAATATTGTCTTCCTCAACAGGTGTATTTCAGTCCATTGCTATACTAGGACTGTTCTCTAGTCTTATTGCCAATTGATAAAGAGGTTTTGCATGTGGAACATAAAAATGTGAACAACTAATAATGAAGTAAAATACACTTTAGATGCAGATTGAGCGGATGCTGTTCACTTGAATATTTTTAAAATCACTTTAAATCACGGAAAAATAGTTTTGTTTGTTTGTTTGTTGTTTGACACCAGACTCAGTAATAATATGACAGCGGTATGTTCAGTGGTATTGTTTACTTAGGCCAGACCAATTTTATTTGTTGTTTTTTACAGATACACCTGTCATATTTTTTCAAGAATAAGAAAAAAAATGCCAAAAAATTTCCCTGCTGAAAAATAAAATTCTAATGTTTTTATTGCCAAAAATGTAAACTTACCACGAAAAACTTGTTTTGCCCCATATACAATTCATAAATTGCCAAAATACTTTAGTATTTAGAAGGAATATTACTTTGACTCTGTGTTTTCACCTCCAAAATCCAAGTAAAACAAGAAATAAAATTGGTCTGGCGTTATCCGAAGTTTAGTTAACATTTGGGACTCCCCTAATAGTGATCATTAATAGGAATGACAAAGTGTTTACTTCTTTACTGTACAATTCGACATTTCGGTATAGATCAGAGGCTCCAGAGAAGCTGCGATATCGAGGGTAAAATAATGCATAGAAAATTTCCAGTTACGCGTTGAAAAATGTTTATTATATAGATAGCATTACCACGCACGCATTTAAAATATTAGATATCGCAAAAGTTTAAAACAAATCGTGCAGAATATATTTATAAAAATAGCTTGCATTATGAAAAAGACATCGATTGCTATCAAGTTGTACTGTTAGTATAGGATGAGTGATTTTTTTATGAAATCATTTCCATTATATTTAAGTTGGTTTTGATTAGATATGACGTAAGGCCAGAACATACCTGCATAGTAAACTTACTCAATGACATAATATTTAGGTGAGTAAAATGACTGAAATCGCTTTTTATATTTACGAGAAAGCAGTGGGTAACGGAAAATGAAATACCCACTCAACATTCATAATACCCACTCCAAAAAATACATTGGGTACAGTACCCACATGAAGGTAAATCTTATCTGGAGCTCTGTTATACTCAGTAATATGACAGCAGTATGAGAATATTTGGTGTCAGACATTGCAATCGGTGATTGACATCATGAGCATCGATCTACGATAATTGGGATCGATGATGACATGTGTCAATCCGCCGCTAACTTCCTATTCACTTGATCCTGTTAGTTGCCTCTTATGACCAAGCGTGTCAGAAGATCAATTCCAACCGAGGATCCTTGTGTTGATGCAGTGAAGAGAAACTGTAATCAGTGTTCTGATAATGTATAAACAGGAAAAGTTTCAAATTGGTTTCAATTTGGAATTTATTTGGTAATGTTTAGAAACATCAGGGATCCATCATCAGAATAATTACAAATATATTTCATATTTTAATATTTTCAGTAGCCAATGCTCACTGAGGAATAGGAAGGGAAAAATGTTTCTTGACTGCAAACTTTTGAGTTTGTTTTGAGATGTAAAGACCAGACCAATTTTTATTTCTTGTTTTTCTGGTTCTCGTCTCAGAAAACCTAAAGGCAGGAGTGAAAAAAAATAAAATAAAATCTTGGTCAGTAATGTTCCTTCTACATACTCAAATTATGTTACTTTTGGGAGTTTATGAAGTGTTTATGGGGCGAAAAAACGAAAATTTCTTGTATGTTTACATTTGTGCTCCCTAGCTAAATCATTAGGATTTTATTTTTTTAGCTGGGAAAATTAATTTGTGCTTTCTTGTTCTCCATTCTTGAAAAAATCGACAGAGACGGATCCGTGTAAAACAAGAAATAAAATTGGTCTTGGCCCTGATCTTCTTATTGTTTTGTATCTACAGGAGGTACATGTGACCGGCACTGTTGATGCAAAGCAGGCTTTTGGATTTTACCATGTTAGAAGGCAAGGGAGTACCTGACGGCCTTTGTGTCTTCTTCAAGGAATTTGAACCTTGGCACCCTAATCCATTACTTTTAACATTGAGTTTATGACACAAGGACCCCTCAACTTCATGCTTAGAACTGTAGTATTACTTGTGTGTATACTGTGTGTAACCTTACCACAAGTTTGGGAGCACAGCTTGCCCTCTTCATCTGTAGCCTCTATACCCTGTGCAGAGTTGCATCCCTTTGATATGCAAGGAACCTGTGATTAAATGGGTTTTGAATCCACTCCTTGCCCGTTCTGGGTCGCCCGTTCCTCAATCGTGAGTCCATGACCGAAAGAGTATGGGAGATTCTGATCACTTTAGCTCTGATGGCTTTCAGAGGCGGGCCCTGATTATGCTTCAGGTTGTTTGCACCAAAGTGGCTGGCATCTGAAACTTCGCTGTTGATCACTGAATTGTCTGGTCCAGACTCGATTGTTACAGACTGCGTCATATAGCTGGCGCGATATTGCTGAGAGTCGGTGAAGCCTCAACTCACTCACTCACTCACTGGCGAGCGCATTACTCCAGGCTTCCCTCCCATAAACATTTAAGCCGGTACACCTGGAGATACCTGTAATAGTGTCTTCTGAGCAGTTCAGTGTAGTGCTGGTGGTATGAGGTGCTGCGGCGGAGTTGTGTCCCTTAGCTGACCACGATCCTCTGTGGATTCCTTTCTTAACTGCATTGTATGTTGATGTTTTTTGTTGTAAACACGTGATGTACCAGTGAGGAATTTGAATTTTTAAATTCATGTAGAAAAGGCTCTCATTTTTAAAATTTGAACTTGAAAAGGCCATGAGGTTTAGGGTTTGTTTTGAATAGACCTTGTGTTTTTCAATTTATGTTGAAATTTCTTTCCAAGGTACATGTGTTTAAATGGCCTTGACCCTTTTTAGTCATTTTTTTAAAAGGGCTTGAATTTTATGTTTGTTTTAAATGTACCTTGAAGTTCTTTGTTTGTAGCAAGGCCTTGAATGTTTTAGTTTGTCTTGAAAAGCTTTGAATATTGTAGGTACTGCGCTAAAATGTGGTGACTGGTTAAGGTTTAAATTGGTCTGTGAAAGACTGTGAAAGTGTAATCCCAAACATAACATATGTTATGTCTGTAAAAGGCCTTGAAATGTTAGTTTATCTTGAAAAGCTTTGAATTCTGAAGGTATTATTGTGGAAAGTCTTGAAAATCTGGTGACTGGTTGAAAGCCCATCATGTTTCAAGTAAGCTCTCAAAACTGTTTTTGGGGAAGGTTTTTAGAGCAGTGATCACAACTATGCGGGTTATATTTACTAGGAATGTGTAGTGATGGAAGGTGTTCCAGTGTATCTGTGTGAGTAATGTAGAGTCAGAAGTGTACACACCAAATGCCTATTGTGCTGAGGTCACACCAGGAGTTTCTCCTTACAACACCCTGTCCATCTCAAGAACTATGGTCACAGATCATTCAGCTATGCTGCTCCTTCACTGTGGAACAGGTTGACCATCAAAACAGCAAAATCTCTTGACTTATTCAAATCTTCATTGAAGACCCATCTTTTCAGGAAATATATTACGAGTGACGCTTACAACTGCTGCTGTTTTTAGCTGTACACACAGGGTGCCATGAGCATACACTAGGGTGTGGATGCGATTGCCACACAAATGGACATTATTCTTATTATTAAGTGGTTATGAATACTTGAACATATATGTTATGTTTGGGATTACACTTTCACAGTCCACAAAGTCAGCAATCCAGCCCACTGAGCCACCACAGCTTCCACTCTTAACCCGCCTCCGCCTCAACGACTCCAAATGTGGAAGCCACAATGGCGCTGAGTGGGTTTTGATCCCTGACAGTTTTGCTAGTGATTAGAAGTGGTGCACAACTCTGAGGATGTATGTACAAATTCTGTATGGGACTGAACCTAATAATATTACTAGAATCTGTACTTCACCGAGAAGATGTAATCCCAAATATATGAGAATCTTAAGCCCCAAGTGTCGCTACTGATTATATCAATTATATCAGCACGAGTTGATAAAGTTACAAATATTAGAGGCTTGCGAGATATTTTTCTTTATCAACAGTGTTGGTATATAAATGATATCAGCTACATTTCACGAGTGAATTCTTTTTATCATCAAAGATCATTCTTCATTAGTTTTCAATGAAAAATGTACATCTCTCAACACTGTACTACCATTAGCCTTGCACTGTGCAGCGATGTCATAGCATTGTGATGTCATCAAGTTGATGACGTCATAGCATTGTTAGGGCATTGTACAAAATCTATTGTCAAAACGATATCTCCTAGGAGATATCATATGATCTCACACAAGCGATATCTCCTGTGGAACAGTTTTGGAACATAAAACATGTCACA